ATGAATCATTTACATGTCTTCTGAATTAGATTACCTACTGCCAAACCATTGACAAACTTTTCCTGAGTATTTCTGGCTTATTTGGAAGAGATTGTGATAGTGGAGTTGAATTTGAGGTGCAGCCCAAATATCTGATGGGGAATACAATAAGAAATACCTCATTCTAAAAGATAGGAGGACCTTCTCTATGGGACCTCACTTTGCCTGTATTCTCGTTCCTGTGGAATGTTTGGTGACCGATAACATCAGACCCCTAAAATTCCACTATTGGTAATAATTATTTAACTGAAAGGCTTCCATCTCTCTTTCTCTCTCTCTAACTTATTGATTGATTTTTTTTTAGAGAGAGAGAGAGAGAGATACATCTATCGGCTGCCTCCTGCACACCCTCTACTGGGGATGGAGCCCCAAACCCAAGGATGTGCCCTGACCGGGAATGAACCGGGACCTCTCGGTCCATGGGGCGATACTCAGTCCACTGAGCCACACCAGCCAGGCAGCTTCAGTATCTTTTATGTATGAACAATCATCTAGAAATTTTGAAATGTCATAGGCAACACTTCAAAATCTAAACCTTGAGTTTTCCCTCTTAGATCTAAAACAAGAAAATTCTCCTGTGTCTGTGAATCTGTTTCTGTTTTGTTTTATTAGTTTATTTTTTGGATTCCACATATAAAATGAGATCATACAGTATTTGTCTTCCTCTGTCTGACTTATTTTACTTACCATAATACTCTCTAGGTCCATCCACATTGTGGCAAATGGCAAGATTTCACTCTTTTCTATGGCTGAGAAATATTTCATTGTGTATTTCAGTATTATTAGACTACAGTATTATTCTAATATACATGCAAATACATAAAGACACACCACAGTTTTATCCATTCACCTATTGATGGACACTTGCTTCCATATCTTAGCTATTGTAAATAATACTGCAGTAAACATAGGGCTACATACATCTCTTCAAATTTGTTTTTATTTTCATTGAATGAATATCCAGAAGAGGAATTTTTGGATCATGTAGTAGTTTTATTTTTAATGTTTTGAGGAAACTCATACTGTTTTCCAGAGTGACTATACCAGTCTGCATTCTCTCCAATGGTGTATGAAGGTTTGCTTTGGTCCATATCCTCTCCAGCACTTGTTATATGTTTGTCTTTTTGATAATAGCCATTCTCACAGATGAGAGATGATGTCTCATTGTGATTCTGATCTGCATTTCCCTGATGGTCAGTGATGTTGAGCGTCTTTTCATGTACCTCTTGGCTCTCTGCATGTGTTTTTTGGAGAAATGTCTGTTTAAGGTCTCTGCCCATTTTTTAATTGGTTGGTTGTGTTTTTTATATCAAATTGTGTAAGTTCTTTATATGGTTCAGAAATTAATCCCTGACTGAATGTAGGATTTGCAAATATCTTCTCCCATTCAGTAGGTTACCTTTTGTTTTGTTGATGGTTTCCCTTGCTGTGCAAATGCTTTTTAGTTTGGTGAGTCTCATTTGTGTATTTTTGTTGTGATTGCTCTTGCCTTTGTCCGAGGAGACTGTTTGCAAGGACGATGTCAGATTGTTTGCAGCCAGCCTATGTTTTCTCTTAGCAGGTTTATGGTTTCAGGTCTTAGGTCTTTTATCCATTTTGAATTTTTGTGTGTGGTTTAAGATAATGGTCCAGTTTCATTCTTTTGCCTGTAGCTGTCCAGTTTTCCTGACACCATTTGTGGAAGAGACTATCTTTTCCCCATAGTATATTTTTGCCTCCTTTGTCATAGAGTAATTGACCAGATAGGTGTGGGTTTGTTGCTGGGCTCTCTGTTCAGTTTCACTGATCTGTGGGTTGGTTTTCGTTCCAGTACCATATTGTTTTGATTAATATAGTATTGTAGTATAGTTTGTAATCGGGGCACACAACATCTCTAGTTTTGCTCTTCTTTCTCAAGATTTTTTGACTATTCAGGGTCTTTCACGGTTCCAGACAAATTTTAGGAATTTTTAGGAAACAAACTGGTAGTTACCAGGGAGGTGGGGGATTTCAGGGAAGTCAAAATTGGTGAAGGGGATGGAGAGGTACAGACTTCCAGTTATAAAATTAATAAGTCCTGGGGATGTAATATACAGCATAAGGAATATAGTCCATACTGTAACAACTTTGTATGGTAGAAGATGGTAACTAGACTTATCCTGGGGATCATTTAATAGTATGTATAAATATCAAATCACTATAATGTAAACCTGAAATGAATAGGATAGTGTATGTAAATTATACATCAATAAAAATAAGTTTCCAGCCCTGGCTGATGTGGCTTGGTTGAGCATCATCCCATACACCAAAGGGTCGCCAGTTTGATTCCAGGTCAGGGCAGATGCCCAGGTTGGGGGTTCCATCCCTAGTAGAGGGCATGCAGAAGGCAGCCAGTCAGTGTTTCTCTCTCTCATCGATGTTTCACTCTCTCCCTCTCCCTAAAAAAAAAATCAATTAAAAAATAAAAATAGCCCTGGCCGGTTTGGCTCAGTGGTTAGAGCGTCGGCCTGCGGTCCTGAGAGACCCGGGTTCGGTTCCCGCTAAGGGCGCGTACCTCGGTTGCAGTTTGTCCCCGGCCCTGGTCGGTTGAGCGGGTGGCGGCCACTCGATGTGTCCCTTTCACGTCGATGTTTCTCTCTCTCTCTCTCTCTCTGTTCCTCTCTCTCCCTCCCACTCTACCTGAACAAAAAATGGAGAAATGTCCTCGGGTGAGGATAAAAAAATAAAAATAAAAAAAAATAAAAAAATAAATAAATAAAATAAAAATAAAAAGCACGTGTTTTTAACAACAAAAAGGAATTTTTCATCTTGCACCTCCTGGATTGAAAATGTTGTTAACTTCTGTTTTAAAACTTACTACTTTACAGCCCTGTCTCATTCTGTTGACCTCGCTCCGGAGAAAACCCCGGCAGTAGGAGAGCCTGCCGTTTTCCATCAGTGTCATCAATTTGTCAGAGTGTTTGGTTCCCACGGACCAAATTCACTGACACTGTTTTTACCTGCAGTTTCCTGGGGTGGCTCCAGATAACTCAGAGTGTTACTTGACACTTTTTGTTCCGCTTCTCTCTATAAATTTCGCTTTTACGTTGCGGTCAGTGAAACTAACAGGAACCAAGGAGCCACTTTTCTCCAGGAAAATATAACTCGGACTTTCCTCCCTTGCCCGGGGGCCCCACCCTCGCAGGGCTTTCGGGACCCTCGCCAGGGCAGGGCGGGCGCTCGCTCTCTTCCTGCAGAATAATGCTTGAGGTTCCACATCACGACGTTCCGCCTGCAGATTGGGTCTCATTGAAATGAACTTTGGGCAGAGGTCTGAATGCTCCATTATTAACCTAGATGTGATAATGTCAGTCAAGTTGATTTTCTTGAGATTGGAGAGCCATCCTTTTAGAATGAAAATTTTTTTTCCTTGGAGAATTTTGTTAATAGGAGATTACCTATAATAATTATATAAGAAGAAATGATCAAAGAGATAGTAAGTAATTAGATAGGAAAGCTGAATTATGCCCTTGCTGTTTCACTGACACATGCATTTATTTTTCTTAAAATAAATTTTAAACCTCTCTTAGCCTCCCATATATCTTTGCCTAGAACTGTATCTTTAATTAGGGTTGTTTCGAACACAGATCATATGATAAACATGCCCCCTCAGCCCCCTCCTTGAAGTGACTTGATTAGTGTAATTGTTACACACATTACAGTTACCCGCTATTTATTGAACACTTACGTGGCCCAGATGTTGCCCATTCAGCCCCTGTAAACACCTGAGATGGTTTTGATGATCTCCCCACTGCTCCAGTGAGAAGATGCTGTGGACAGGTAGCATTGCCCTAAGTCCGAGCTCCCAGGGCACAGTCAGAGAAATGCAGAGCTGCGTTAGCGGTGGCTCAGGCACCAGGCAGTGTGCTAAGTGCTTTGAATAGCATTGGATTGAAACCTCGAGGTGCTGTCATGTTATTCTCAGTTTACAAATGAGGAACATGGTGCTTGGGGTGTCACGTGACTTGCTAAGGTATCAGGGCAGGTGAGGAGGGATCCGGCAAAGCTTTCTGACTGCAGCTCTCGCCCACCTGAAGGCCAGTGTGTTAAGTTGCTTTCTCACCGTGACCGTGTGTTAACACCCTGAATTAGAATGTGGGTCTCTCTCACCCACGGACACAGACAACAGTGTGGTGAAGGTATGGGGGTGGGAATGGGGAAAAGGGGATCAATGGAGGCAAAAAGGGGGGACTTCTGTAATACTTTCAACAATAAAGATCAATTCACAAGTGAAAAATAGAAGAACCTGGGTCTCTTACTCTGAAGCTTATTTTATGTGCTCTGACCTCTGTCCTCTATATTACTCCTTAAAATGGGCTTCAGAAAGGAGCTCTGAGTTATGTGATAACATTGCACCTGGGGACGCATGCCTGTGGCATGACGTTGCTCCATAACCAGTTCCGTGCTGTGTCAGGGTCTCTTGGTGTGCATCTGTGCCCCGGGAGCTGGTGTGCATCTGTGCCCCGGAGCTGGTGTGCGTCTGTGCCCCGGAGCTGGTGTGCATCTGTGCCCCGGGAGCTGGTGTGCATCTGTGCCCCGGAGCTGGTGTGCATCTGTGCCCCGGGAGCTGGTGTGCATCTGTGCCCCGGAGCTGGTGTGCGTCTGTGCCCCGGCAGCTGGTGTGCGTCTGTGCCCCGGAGCTGGTGTGCGTCTGTGCCCCGGCAGCTGGTGTGCATCTGTGCCCCGACAGCTGGTGTGCATCTTTGCCCCAGGAGCCCGCTGCTGTTTGCTGTGACGACCGACCCTCCTGGCCGGCAGTGGGCACGTTCTTGTTTCTTTAGGGCAAACAGGTGATCATTCAAGTACACCTTCCTGTTGTTTCCGAACCAGATTTTTGAATGTGACACGCTAATCTTTTTGATAAACTTTACTAGCAGCGACTACACTGTATGACTGAAATTTTTTTTCTTCTTAGTTTATGTGTTTTTCGATCTTCTTTCTAGGTTGGAATACTCCTTCATTATTCCACCCTCGCCACGGTGCTCTGGGTGGGAGTGACGGCCCGAAACATCTACAAACAAGTCACCCGAAAAGCCAAAAGATGCCGGGACCCTGACGAGCTGCCACCGCCACCTCGACCCATGCTCAGGTGCCTGCGCCTGCTGCGCCCCCTGGGCCCTTCTGCACCCTCTGCGCCCCCTGTGCCCCCTGGGCCCCCTGGGCCCTTCTGCACCCTCTGTGCCCCCTGTGCCCCCTGGGCCCTTCTGCACCCTCTGACCCCCTGGGCCCTTCTGCGCCCTCTGCGCCCCCTGGGCCCTTCTGCACCCTCTGCGCCCCCTGGGCCCTTCTGTGCCCCCTGTGCCCCCTGGGCCCTTCTGCGCCCCCTGTGCCCCCTGGGCCCTTCTGCACCCCCTGTGCCCCCTGGGCCCTTCTGCACCCTCTGCGCCCCCTGGGCCCTTCTGCACCCCCTGTGCCCCCTGGGCCCTTCTGCACCCTCTGACCCCCTGGGCCCTTCTGCACCCCCTGTGCCCCCTGGGCCCTTCTGCACCCTTTGCGCCCCCTGGGCCCTTCTGCACCCCCTGTGCCCCCTGGGCCCTTCTGCGCCCCCTGGGCCCTTCTGCACCCTCTGCGCCCCCTGTGCCCCCTGGGCCCTTCTGCGCCCCCTGGGCCCTTCTGCACCCTCTGCGCCCCCTGTGCCCCCTGGGCCCTTCTGCACCCCCTGTGCCCCCTGGGCCCTTCTGCACCCTCTGTGCCCCCTGTGCCCCCTGGGCCCTTCTGCACCCCTCTGCGCCCCCTGTGCCCTTCTGCACCCTCTGTGCCCTTTGGGCCCCCTGGGCCCTTCTGCACCCTCTGTGCCCTTTGGGCCCCCTGGGCCCTTCTGTGCCCCCTGCGCCCCCTGTGCCCCCTGCGCCCGGGGTTCCGTTAGTCGCTGTCTGTAATGCAGTGCCGTCGTGACAGCGTGGCCCACTGGGTGTGGGAAGGGGAGAGAATGGACCTGGATGCTGGGCTTCTGGTTTTGAGGACCAGCCGGGCCCCTTCCAGCTCAGAGTCCGTGAAGTTCGGACCCTCTTGGTGCCCTTCCACCTGAGCTGTGAAGGGGATGGTTCCGACTCATGGAACCAGTGTGGACAAGAAATGGGCTGGTGTGTAAGTGTTAGCTGTTTTATTTTCCTAGGGTCAGGCCATAGGTTTTACTCAAGCACTCATCGTTTTTGTTTGTTTTTTAATGATTTTTGTTTTTAATCCTCACCCAAGGATATTTTTCCATTTATTTTCAGAGTGGGAGGGAGAGAGGGAGAAACAGTGATGTGAGAGAGACACATTGAGTGGCTGCCTCCCGCACGACCCCAGCCAGGGCTGGGGATGAACCGCAACCGAGGTGCATGCCCTTGACCAGAATCGAACCTGAGACTCTGGTCCGTGGGCCAGTGCTCCACCACTGAGCCAAACTGGCCAGGGCTGCATCAGTTCTTTTATTCTCTGCAAAAGACAAAGAGTTTGGAGTTATGCCCTTTTTACCCATCATCATTAGAAAGTTGTCAGTGGGTTATCAAGCTTGATGAGTAAAAATTGATCAGCGTCTCTGAGATAATTGAGTGCCGGATACATACATGACTGAAGGGACCCCCCCCCCCCATCTCGAGGCCTTCCTCCCCAGTCTTCGAGGAGACAGGCACAGGGAAAACTGACCGGTGACAGTGAAGAACTGCAATAGATGGATTTTTGGAAAGTGCAAACCAAGCAGCCGTTATTGGGGGTGAGGGGCTGTTGTTAATTGTCAGACCACTGATAGGAGCCTTCATTAGAGACCGGAGCAGAGAGGGGGGGCACTGCAGATGCAGGACAAGGTGGTAGCTGAGGGGCTTGTAGAAAAGCATTTAGTCTGCAGCCGAGTTGAGTGCCGTGGAGGAGCAGGAATTCGGGGTGAGCGCTGAGCTTCGGCCTCGGTGCGGTGGTGGCGTGTGGGCAGCCATCGAAGGTTTTTAACTGGGGGCTTAGAGCCTGACCAGGTGACTTTAGAAGGACAGCCATCAGAAGGAAGGTACCAGGCTGGAATAGGAATTGCAAGACCGGAGAATAAAGGCTCCACTGAGGGCGTTGGGGGTCCCCACAAGGGCTCAAACAGGAGCAGTGGCATAGAGAACAGAGAGGGGGACGTGTGCTTGAGGGACTGGACACAGCTTCTCTGCGCTGATGACCACTGGATTGGAGAGCTGTGCGCTGACAGGGCCACACGCCGCAGATGCCACCCCGGTGCGCTCGCTGCCTCAGCCGGCGGCCCCATGGACTGAGAACCGGATAAGAGAAGTGAATGGGGGCAGGGGGTGTGGGACGGGTAAGCACAGGGAGGCCGGCTCACCACACTTCTCTTGTGGAGAGTTGACGTTGTCGGAAGTCTGGTGCTCTGCGGAGAAGACGAGCTGGACCCACTGTAGATGGACAGGAGACGTTACGTGCCTGGTCACCTAAACAAGAGCCCCCTGGGATAAGCTAGTTAAGAAGAGCACAGTGATTCCTGGGCCATGTCTGTGAAAGGCCATGGAAAATAAAAGGAAGAGTCATGTATCATAGAAATAGACACTCGAAACCTATATAATCTTATTAACCGATGTCATCCCAATAAATAGAATAAAAAATAAAATAAAATAAAATAAAAGTACTCTGATGACAGAAATGAATTGCTGAGAACATAGAAGGTTCAGGGAGCATGTACCCGAACACAGAGCACAGTAGCGTGCCGGCCCACAGTCGGCTTATAGAGTAAGAGCTTTGGCATCTCTGTCACTTGTATTACAAGAACGGAGGTGGTGTTTGGCTAAGAGACCTGGGCCTTCTGTCCTCGTGGTTAAGTAAACGGCAGCTTTGTCTCCACACCCTGTGCACTCCCTGAATGACCCACAAGTACCCCTTTACCTTTAGACGTGCCAGCTCCTCCCTCTAGGACGTCCTCCCTCCCCTTGACCTGGAGCTTGAAGCCCCGGCAACCTGGCCTCCTGAAGGCTGGGCTGGGGGTGCCCGAGTCTCTCCTGGCCCAGGGAGGGCAGTGTCAGTAGCATATAGGTAGAAGCAGCCTCACAATAAGGTGATGAAGGTGAAGCACATGAAAGGTGTTCATATCTCCAGGAGCTTATCCCGGAAGGGAGAGGCGAAGAAGGTGTAGGTCCAGGGAAGGTTCAGGAGAGAGGAGAAAACCTGAGCACACTATGGGCTGCAGGTGCGAGGCAGTGGAGAAGACGGAAAGGTGCAAAAGGAGGCTCACTGACAACACCCGTGCTGGCGGTGGGAGGGGAAGAGCGGCAGGACCTACACTGATGTGGGAAACGACGCCTTCGCAGGGAAGAAGCGACGGGAGTTAATAAAGCAGGAAGGAGGAGGTGGAGGATGTCGGCCTCCCTCTAATGTGTGAAAGAGAAGGCAGGTTATGGTTTTATACCATAATGAGCTGTTCTTTTCTGCAACACTAATTAATATCCTATTTAAGGATTTTAGTACCTGTGAGCATGCATGACTAAGAAACAGTCTGTGGAAAAGGTGTTATGAAATGAATATTGCCTTTTTCCAGCCAATTCAGTTTTGAGGTTGTGTCCCAGAAAGTGGCCAATGCAGAATTAAGGTTCTAACCGCCCAGGGGTGCCCAGCCAGGGCAGAAAGTTGCCTGTTTCTGTCTTCAGAAAGCTCAAAGGAGCTCCAGCCATGAAAAGAGGTGTGTGTGCCCAGATCCAGCACCTCGATTCTCAGTCCCTGTCATTTGTCCTGTCTCCCTGGTAGTCATGGGAAAGGGGCCAGGAGGGGCTGAGCACGGTGGAGGCTGCTGGGGTCCAGGTGCCTTCCTGGCCTAATCTCAGGTGACTGACAGTAAGCATACACAGCACCAGAGCGTCCTGGAAACACAGGCTTAGCCAGACATTAATAAATAATCTGTCGTTGCGTATTTTGTCTGCACTATGGCACAGTGAGATCTCAAAGTCCATTTCGGCCCGGCTGGTGTGGCTCAGTGGTTGAGCATTGACCTATGCACCAAGAGGTCGCCAGTTTGATTCCCAGTCAGGGCACATGTCCAGGTTATGGGCCTGATCCCCAGTGGGGGGCATGCAGGAGGCAGCCAATTGATGTTCCTATAACTCTTTTCCTTTCCTCTCTCTCTAAAATCAATAAAGATTGAATTCCATTTTCTAATGGAATGGACTAACGTTCTGGTTCACCAGCTGAATCTAAAAACCCCCCACAAAAACAGATCTCCTAAAAGAAGTATGGACTAAAACCCTCCCGGCTGTAGCTGAGTGTTACTTTGTCCGTCCACAGGGTGGCAGGAGATGACCATCTTTCCTCAACTCGAAACTTGGTGGACCTTGTGCTTTGAAAAAAAGAAATTGAAACAAACATTTAAAAAAATTCTAAAGAGATTATTGCTAACACAGCAGCCTCTGAAAGTTGACCTTTCATTTACTGTGGAATAGGAATAATCATCTTTAAAGAATGATTTGTGCAGTGATGCCAGGTGTACACCTTAACTGATTGGATGACGAACCCTGACTTCTTTTATTGCTCCTCCCAGGTTTTACCTGATCGGGGGCGGGATCCCCATCATCGTCTGCGGCATAACCGCGGCAGCAAACATCAAGAATTATGGCAGCCGGCCAAATGCGCCCTAGTGAGTAGTTTGTGTTCTCTGTGTGCCTCACCCAGTCGTTTCTTTTTTAACTATTTCCCGGGCACTAAAGCTTATTGCCATTTCCTAAACAGTTTGGTGACACATGTAGCGTCTGAGCTGGCTCCCCGTTTTCTCTCCTAGTTGCTGGATGGCGTGGGAACCCTCCTTGGGAGCCTTCTACGGGCCAGCCAGCTTCATCGCGTTCGTAAACTGCATGTACTTTCTAAGCATATTTATTCAGTTGAAGAGACACCCAGAGCGCAGGTACGAGCTGAAGGAGCCCCCGGAGGAGCAGCAGAGGCTGGCGGCCAGTGAAAACGGCGAGGCGAACCCGCAGGACTCCCTGTCCCTGTCTCTGATCTCCACGTCGGCGCTGGAAAACGAGCACACGTTCCATTCGCAGCTCCTGGGGGCCAGCCTCGCCCTGCTCTTGTACGTCGCGCTGTGGCTGTGCGGGGCCTTGGCGGTGTCTTTGTATTACCCTTTGGACTTGGTGTTTAGCTTCTTTTTCGGGGCCACGTGTTTAAGCCTCAGTGCGTTCCTCGTGGTGCACCACTGTGTCAACCGGGAGGACGTGCGACTGGCGTGGATCATGACCTGCTGCCCGGGACGGAGCTCGTACTCGGTGCAGGTCAACGTGCAGCCCCCCAATGCCAGTGGCACCAACGGAGAGGCCCCAAAGTGCACCAACAGCAGCGCGGAGTCTTCCTGCACCAACAAGAGCGCGTCCAGCTTCAAAAACTCCTCCCAGGGCTGCAAACTGACGAACCTGCAGGCGGCGGCCGCGCAGTGCCGCACCAGCTCTCTGCCCCTGAGCGCCACGCCGCAGCTTGACAACAGTCTGACCGAACACTCGGTGGACAACGACATCAAAATGCACGTGGCACCTTTAGAAGTCCAGTTTCGAACAAACGTGCACCCCAGCCGCCACCACAAGAACAGAAGCAAAGGACACCGGGCCAGCCGCCTGACCGTCCTCAGAGAGTACGCCTACGATGTGCCCACCAGCGTGGAGGGCAGCGTGCAGAACGGCGCGCCCAAGAGCCGGCCGCCCAATGGCGACGGCCACTCGAGGAGTCGCAGGGCGTACCTGGCCTACAGGGAGAGACAGTACAACCCGCCCCAGCAAGACAGCAGCGACGCCTGCAGCACGCTCCCCAAGAGCAGCAGGAACGTGGAGAAGCCCGCGGCAGCCGGCGGCAAGAAGGATGCGTTCAGGAAGCCGACTGCCGTTGAACTTGAAAGTCAGCAGAAGTCCTATGGCCTCAACCTGGCCATTCAGAACGGACCAGTCAAAAGCAGCGGGCAGGATGGAGCCCTGCTGGGCACGGACAGCACTGGCAATGTTAGGACTGGATTATGGAAACATGAAACTACTGTGTAGCGGGGGTGGGCTTCCCGGGCAGACACCCGTCCATCCTCTGACAGTCACATTCCTTCAAGCGGTGAACGCGTGAAAGCAAACTGTTTACAGCCACCCATGGATTCAAACGAGTTTTGAATAAACGTCAGCGTTTTGAATTGTACTTATTTTATATCCCCCACTCCGTTGTTGCTTTTTTTTTATGAATTAAAAAGAAAGAAAGGAAACCTCTCAAGCATTGTTTTAGTTGTCAGAGTACCAGCAGGACGTTTTGGGAACCTGAAATGTGATTTCCTGAAATCTGTAACATCGACTTCACGTTTCAGAGTTGTATTTAATGCAATAAATAGGTGTTTGTCATTGTGTCAATCTTATATTTTTATATTTTGCAATAGAAGCATCTAGTTGTATTTTAATGATGTTTATACATTGGGATAGTTTAATGAGATGTGTACTTAAGTCAGGTACCAGATTTTTACATGATTAGCTCCCCTGATTGTGGCATATTAATCAAAGGGCCTTTGGACTGATGCAGTTTATAAATATAATTTTTAACAAGTTATCTTTATTGTTGAAAGTATTACAGATGGCCCTACGTTTCTCACCATTGTTCCCCTCTTACCTGCTCCTGCCCCCCTCTCCAAATGCTACAGGTTTTCAAAAATATCTCGCAGCATGTCTTTTGAAATGGAAATGCCTGAAAAGCTCTTCCGAGATTTCATTACTTTTGCCATATCCATTTGATCCTGCTGATACTACTTTTACCACTCTTGTGGCTTTTCGGTGGTTTATTTTTGGGTGTAGTTTTCTCATTTGATTTTTTTTCCCCTCAGCACATGGTTGTTGAATGTAAGTGAAGAGCTACCACGTAAGGTTCATGTTCCCTCTGGGTTTTTCGTCACTGTTCTTGGGTTGGCTGTTCTTTTGGTCTTAAAGAGAGGAACTTCCTTAGGTTCATGCTGACGTCCTGATTTTTAAATTATGTTGCAAGGATAAAAGTAGATCTGATCCAAAAGCTAACGCTGGTCCTTCTCCATGTCCACTCCCCACTCCCACTGGGGAGTTCTTCCGAAAGTCAGATTGGGTCTGTCCTGACTCCTTTGGGGGTTTAGCTCCTCTGCTGTGCAAAACAGTGCCTTGGTTAATAAAATTATATAGGTTTCAAGTGTACAGTTCTATAATACTTCATGTATATTGCAAAATCAGATCCAATTCAAAAGTATGCATTCAAGAAATGCTAAGAGTTAGCTTACTTTGATAAACCTCAAAACCTGACTTACTGCTTATTTTTGCAGAGTGATTCTCTCAGACACCACGAGATCACCCATTAGAGTATACATGTTCTTTTTATCAAGTTACTGCATTCAAAATAAATCATTGTGCTTTGCAGTAATGAAACTGGTCATTTTAGTTAAGACTTGTGTCAGGTGTTAGTTTTAGAGACATTCTTTTTGGTGGGGAATCAAGGCGACCAGATGGATAGATGTGCCTCATGTACGCTACACCACTGCCCGGCCCAGGGTCTCCTGCTGAGTTGGTGCATATGTGCAGAGTGATGTTTAGAAATGACAAAGATTAATAAGAAATGGCGTGAACGATTATTTTCTATTGCTATTTAATTTTGTTCTGCTATTTTGCAGTTCATCATTCCTGCGTCTAACCTGTTTCCCTGACCCACAGGTCAATCCCACATAGGGAAAGAACCTCTTTCTTCTTTGTTTTCCTACCTCTCCACAGGAAGTGATAAATTCCCTTCCTGAAAATGTTCACTGTTTAGTAAGCATTTATTAATTGAAACATCACTTCCTGTAGGTAACAGAAGGAAGAGAGACTTGGGGCGGGGTGGGGGCGTGCAGACTGGAAGAAAAACTCAAATGCCTGGAATAAAATGATTTCACTAAAATATTTGGAGTGTTTTGATGCTGGTGAGTGGTGATTTTATGTATTCTGTTCTTAGTATGTGATTCAATTGAAATCTGATGTTTGGGTGTAGGAAGTAACACATCACCTCCCCCATCTTTGTCATTTATGATTTATGGTTTGTTCTGGTTGAGGTTTCCCTATTTTGTTTTTTTTTTTTTCATAGAATCATACGCTCATTAAGAGATGTTTCAGTTTTCTTCAAGATTGGTTCATACATTTTTCGCATTAAAAAATTTGGGCAACCGAGGTCCAAATCTGACACCCTGAATGTGCGGCAGGTCATGCCACATTGAGGACCACGACCGTCCCCGATGCCGTGGCCACCAGCTCCACTTCTCATTGTTTCCTGAAGTCAACCAACTGTGTTCTCATCCCAGTTGTGTTTGAGTTTTAATTTTATAATAAGGCATAATTGGTTATATTCTATTCAAGGACACATACATGGTTTATTCTTTCATTCCATCAAAGCTTTTTTAATCATATCGTTATATACTTACTATATAGTGTATATAATATACACATCTTATATCCATAATTGGATGTTAGATGCTAACCTATGTTTTAGGTGATGATTAGAAGTCAGGTTTGTGTGTGAGTATTTTTGTAACTAGATTTATATGTGTGTATAAATGCGTGCTCATATTTCAGATCATTAACAGGCAGCAAGTAATTTCTAAATCTCAGCACATATAACTTCATGTCATTCTGTCCATGTTCAATATGTTTATATAAATAGATACAATCTTCTAAACAGATGTCACATTATATAGAAATGCTGATGTTTAGGTCATGCTCATTATTAAGAAGTAACAATGTTAAAGCATGTAGGCCTGCATGTTTCACACATTGAGCTCAGAATGTTCAAACTGAAGTTGGTTAAGACCATAAAAAAATGAGAAAGTAAAAAATTAACTGAAAGCACCTAATGTTGGAATTAAACTAAATCATCAAGGATAGTGATTCATACAACAGGAATCCAAAATTTAAAACATACTAATTTTGTTTTTCTTTTCAGATCCCCGGAATCATTTAATTATGTTGGTATTCACCTCAGGGCTCTTATCTAGAGATGATTTGATTATTCTTAATGACTTATGATGGTAATGTTTCCCAAACTTGAGTCATTCCAGCACTTTTGTCAACTCTGCCATATTTTCCCTAACATTTATATAAATAGTGTTGTATGGATCAACTCACTCTTTTTCACTGAAGTATAAGGAAACTCTTCAAGGAGAAATTTCTAGCTGTTTGTAATCTGTCAATTTCTAAAAGCCTCTGATTACATGGTGCTTGGTTTTAGACAAAGTTGAAATTGCAGTCAGGGGCCTCTTGTGTAGAACCAGGTCTTGTATGGGTCATTAAAGCTCCTAGCCAGTGGCGATACTGCCATACAGGAGGCATTGACTGATACACAGAATTCAGACCGCTGGCGTTCTGTTCACTTGGCCCCGTGCGCTCACTAGTCTTGTCTTTCTGCCTTACGTGGAGGACCCCGCTGGGCATGCAGTGAGGCCCCAGGCAGCCTTTGGTCACGGCTCTGTTTTGGCCTCCTTTCACTGGGGATGCCAGTGGCTCAGAGGTGGATACCACATTGACATGTGGTATTAAGAAACCCCCTTTACACCCTGTCCAGTTTGGCTAAGTGGTTGGCGCATTAGCCAGCAGACCAAAGAGTCTCGGGTTCAATTCCGGTCAAGGGCATGTACCTCGGTTGCGGTTTGTCCCTGGTCCTGGTTAGGGGTGTGCAGGAGACAGCTAGTTGTTCCTCTCACATCGATGTGTTTTTCTCTTTCTCTACCCCTCTTCCCCTCATTTTATCTGAGATAGATGGAAAAATATCCTCGGGTGAGGGTTAAAAAAAAAAAGAAGAAGAAATCTCTATTTATATATTAACTGTGGGTCACTACCTCTGGCCAAGATCTTGTTAGATTTTTGTTAACTTTGGTTGCGTGTTGTCTGAAAAGTGTATTGTCCTAATTGTGTCATGTTTACAAATGGTAGAAGGTGACACAGAGAGTTGAATCCATTATCTGCTGCTGCCATTTAGTTTGACAAGGTACTAGTGAAGACATTAGTTAAATATTTCAGGTATTTTCCCAATATTCAAAGGGTTACCAGTGGGCAGTGTGAGAGGGTTCCTCATCCCCACCTGTTGCTTTTGGGAGTGGAATTCTTGCGATACCCCAAAAAAAGGAATTTTTTGAGACTCGCACTGGAGAATGAGTGATTTTTATATGCGTGGAATTAAATCCCTAAGTTTCCAAATTCCCATTTCCCTTTGTCCAGTTATAGAAAAAGTGTAGCTGGGGCTTCAGTAGAGCTAAAGTCAGAGCCAGTGTCCAGTTTCATTTCTATGTTGGAGCAGAGTCCAATCCAGCGTCAGGCTGGTATAGTTTGTGTTCCCTGCTGCAGACCATCAGCTCATTGCGTGTGGGGTCTGCAGGGCCACCTGGCTAAGGAAGAAACATGGCTGAATGCAAGGAAGCAGGAGTAAAAGAGCCCCAAAAGCCAGAAGTCAAGTGCAACAAGAGTGAGCTCCTTTGTTTAGGAGATTATGTATTTCCAAATTTTCAGTCTTGCAGTGGCCCTGCCCATTCTGGCCAACCATCTCTGTTCTCAGGTTTGACTGATAGGCAAGCATCTTCCCTATGTCGCCCTGACTTCACTGGGCATGTGTCTGTCTCCACTTTGTTGGATCCCTTCCCTCAGTGATTCTGCAGGAAATGGGCCAGTGTTCCCTGGGGAGTGTGGAATTGCAGCTTCCAGGGGAAGCTGCTCAGATGGCCATGCCTATAATGTCTGCCCTTCCTTTTGCTTCTTGCCTATTATGAATAGCTGATTGTAATGAATCAAAAGTATTTTCAGAAGGTTCTTCAGGTGCATTTCAAACTGGGTTATTCGAAATACAGCTGATCACATCTTCAGTTCAGCCATGTGTTCACTCTGTCTTGGCAAACGCTATTTTAATGAAGGTTTGCTTGGATAGATAAGTTTAGAGTGCGCAAATGAGCAAATACATATGCAAGATAAGGTTGCTGGCAAAGCTAGGCATAGGAAGACACCATGTGAAAGTATGAGCTCCAGCTTTCAACCGGGTGCTTGTTATCAATATCTATTCCTTTATAAAATTGAGGAAAAGTTGTTAATTTACTGGTCAACTATGATTAACAATTTTTACTGCTTAGTTTTTTGGGTTTTATTTGATTTTAATGTCAAGTCTTGGTAAACTTAACAATTCTTAAAATGCAACATGTTAGGATCTTAACAAAATAAAAGTTCTTACTTAAGTAATAGTCTGACCGTGTTCCTAGCCTAGCAGCTCTCCCCAGGGTTCTCACCCAGGTTTCTGTCCTTAAGCTCCTTCCTCAGAGCACGGACGATAGCCCACCTGGAGGACTGTATGGATGAGACCTGGAGATGGCATATGCCATTTTTACCCATAGT